CCATGTCATAGGGTGGACAGGGATATGAGCACTCACTCTTCCCCCATTGAAGGTCTAAGTGGTCCAGGTGAAGCCTCACCCCTCTCCTTTCCCCCCTCCCCCCAACCCCCAATTAAGTCCAGGGATGGGCAAATGCCTGGGTGTAAGCCAATCAAGGCTTCACACTGCCTTCATCTGCAGTGATTGGTTGAGGGGTCTACGCATGCCATAGACACTGACCCCGAGCGGCAGTGGAACTCCTGCAGAGACTCTCGGGAAGAAGCCTTTGCTTCTTCACACTGGGCTTGAGCCTGCTCTGTGCTCCCCGGCATTTGGAGGGATTTAAGGCCCAGTTGTTGGAAGAAGAGTCATCAGCTAGGGGGTCGTGACCTCCAAACCCACAGTTCCCAGTCAAGGCAAAGGGTCTCCATCACCCACTAGAGATTGACAGAGGCAGCCCCCCGAATCTGGCATCACTTTCTCCCTGGCCATCTATGTATGCAGGAGAATTGCTGGCCTGCCTTTTCTGCCTATTTGAATGAAGGAGGAAGACTTGGAGAGAGGTGGGAGGGGCAGAGGGCATGGCCACCGTTACTATGGCAAGGATGTGTGCTTCCCAGGCTTGTGGATGCTGCAGATGGCACCCAAGTCCCATTTACCTCACCAAACCAGAGACCCCAGAGCCACAAAGCCACATGCAGGAGCTGGAGCTCATCTTCCTGGTCAGGACCTGGGTGGCGGAGATGCCCCCAGAGTCCTCTCTACCTCAGAACACACCCTCCTTCCCCCAGAGAGGCCCGGGAGCAGCCCAAGAAGGAAGAGCTTGAGGATCTGTTCACACACCAAGCAGGTGCAGGTGAGGTGGAGAGCCGCTTCCTCCGGCCGCAGGTCAGCTAAGAGGATGGACAGCATCGGAATGGAGCCAAAACGAGTTTTTATCTGAATCTGATCAGTCTGCACTTTTTGATGCCTCAAAGTGAAAGGAGCCCCAGAGATCTGTCTGAGGTATCAAAGTGAGGAAAAGGAAATACCTCATTACATAGCCAAAGGAAATAATGGGAGGCTTATACCTCACTGAGTTCCACTATTCAAAATACTGGTTACACCTTTGTCCTAAGGTGACTAGGGGAGACTGCTCAAGAATGATGGAGGACCCCTACAGCAAGTAGCACCAAGAGACCGAGGCACAAGGTCTGAGCTGCTGCATCAAGCCTTTCCTGAAGGCAGCCTCGTTCCACCCTTTGGAGTTTGCAGTACTGGACAATCAATCCCTGAACTTACATGAGCAGAGCTTTCTATCGCTGTACACGGGGGTTTAACAGATCCAGTAGATATAGCCACTCTTCTTTCTGAAGGGATGCGCATGGCCCCTGTCACATTCTCAGGGCAATTGCTGTAGTGGATGGCTCAAGGAGAGAGAGAGAGAGAGAGAGAGAGAGAGAGAGAGAGAGAGAGAGAGAGAGAGAGAGAGAGAGAGAGAGAGAGAGAGAGAGAGAGCTGGAGTCTGGTGATCTCCTAGACAAATCTGAGGACCAGCCATCTACATGGGGGGTGTGGTTGTTGTCCAGGGATGTGGGGAAAGAACTCGACCAGCACGGCCCGCTGTGTGGGAGGGTCTGCAGCCTCACAAGCTGGCATTAACTGGCACTCAAGAAATATTTGTTGAATGGAAACCGGCAGGAAAATTCTAACAAGTCATACTTTACATGCAAATCTTCAGGAATATTTTCAGGAAAATAGCTAATGTGTGAACATCTAATCTGCATTTCCATGTCCTGACAGATGGCCCATATTAACAGAGCTCTGATTATAGTTAAAAAAAAGAAGAAGAAGAAGAAAGTAAAAGAAGAGAGAAAGAAAGAAAGGAAAACTTACAAGTATTCATTGAATTTGTGAGCTGGGCTACACACACCAATGCCTTTGTGACTATCATGTTTAATGTTTAAAACAGACACATGACTATTTGTCAAAAACCATGCCAAGGGTTAGAGGTATGGCTCAGTTGTAGAGCATTAACCAAAGAGTGAAAGTGTCAGGTACTGAGTTCAAGTCCTGGTCTCAGAAGTCCCCTACCCTGAAAAAAGGAAAAGAAAAACTACCCCAATATTCTCTAGAAGAAGGAAACTATCCTCAGGCTTCTATGGCTGGTGCAGGATATTTGCCTCTGTTTTTTTTCTTGATCTGGCCTTGAGAGTCTAAGGTTATATTCTTAAAATGGATGCAGGCATAACAGCATCAGAATCAGTGGAGATGTTTATTAAAATACAGGTTTCTGATGGGAGCTGGTAGTTCACATCTATAACCCTAACTACTCAGACACTTGAGCTCTGATGGCTTGAAGTCAGTCTGGGCAGAAAAATCTATGAAACTCTTATCTCCAATTAACCACCAAAAAATCCAGAAGTGGAGCTGTGGCTCAAGTAGTAGAGTGCTAGCACAAAAGCTCAGGGACAGCATCCAGGCCCAGAGCTAGCCCCAGAACTAGCACGCACACACGCATGCACACACACAAAGGCAGGCTGCTGGACCCCAACATCAGTGTGCACCTCTGAGAGATCCATCCGAGGGCTTTTCCAACCATCTCTCCAAACCATTTGATGTCCACTGAGGTCTAAAAGTCTTTTCCTGCCAGGATTAGTGCATTCCCTCCTGGGGGGTCTCCTCAGTACCTTGGGGACGTCTGCCTAGCCCCATGGGGGTGGTACCTTGGGGGAGAGGCTCGCAGCTCTAGGTTGGAAGATGGAAGGAAGCCAGGAGCAGGTGAGTGGGCAATGCCCTCCTGTGGCCAGGACAGCGGTGGCAGAGCGAAGGGGTGACTTCATGAGGACTTGACGTGGGAGGGGCCCCGCATCCTGTCAGGTCACACGCCAGCCCTGGCTACCAAGGGAGCTGGTGAGCTCGGACAGGGTCCTGTAGCTCTCTGAGTAACACCACATCCTAGACTCCCTTACATTTGACCTTCTATTGCCCTGAAAGGTTTTAATTTAGAAGGAAGATACTGCCTAACAGACATAACTTAGGGCTTCTTAGACAGCCATGAAGTTCCCTCAGCTTCCCTCTGTGTCTACCTCCGCATGGGTGCTTGTCAGATGCCGCTACGTCTTCTACGTGACCTGCCTCTGGGTTACTCCAGGTGAGGGCCTTGCTCTCCCTCTGCTGCCAGCTTGGGCCAGCACCCTGTTTCCCTTGGGACATCTCCCCCAGATTCTCAGTCATCTGACCTGAGGATGTTCAACTAGGAAGCTGGGGTCTGACTGGCCTGGACCATGGGTGTCCCCATCTCTTTGGTCCTCCAGTGGGCAGGAACCTTAGCCTTCCAACCAGAGTGACCCACTAGGAATGTTCGGCCCAGCTTTCTCTCTAGTCAGGGCAGGCAGGGGAGGGCTGATCCCAGGAATTCTCAGAGAACTGCTGAGGATTTTTTCAGAGGCCAGGATGAGGCCAGGGTCAAGCAGTATAGACAAGAACCTAGGCCTGAACACCCCTTTGAGGCTTGACTCAAGATCTGCCCCACACCACCTCGATCCCCGAGTTGCAGTCATTTGTGCCAAGTGCAAGCGTCTGAGTGTGTTTTTGCTGAACTCAGTTGAGCTGGGGTTTTGTCATGTGTCTCACTCTATCCTAACGGATACACGTTCTAGCTCCTTAGTCTCCTGCAGTCAGTATCCCCATCAACTTTGCCCCATGCCCCTCCTCCGTTTAAAGCAGATATGAATGCACTCACTCATCAGGCAGGAATGCTAGTGGGAGCGGGGTTATTTGGACTCGTGGCTTGTTGAGACCCCATGCCAGAAGAATGTTGATGAATGGATCAGTGTCAAAGTAGAGGAAACCCTATTCCTGTTCAACCTTGTCATCGGTGGCTTGGATGAAACGGGAGACATGCGTAACAAGTCTCCGATGACACAACGCTAGAGGAGCCGCTAAAATGACAGATGGCAGAATGGAGATTCTGAATTATTTGGACTGACTTGAACAGTAATAAGGATAAATAGAAACTCTTGCATTGAGGCTCAAGAGATCAATTGGATAAGCAGGAGGGGGTGTGTGTATGTGGGGGGGGGGAGCCTGGCTTAGCAGTTGTCATGACAACAGAGAACTTGCTGTTGACCACAGCTCGTTCAGCCAAATGCTGAGACCGTTGGTAACCCGGTGATGCACTTTTCAAATGTTGAAAAAAACCCAAAAAACAAAACACTGCCATGGAGTAGGAAGAATAACTCTGCCTCTACTTCCCCACTTGGAGTTTTCTAGAAAGCAGTTTTCAGTTCAGTTTCAAATAATCCCCCAGAACAGAACAGGCCCCCTTGCAATCCTGAGGATGTCACGGCTGTTTCCATCAGGATAGAGGACAAAGGATTCCATTACAAACGTCTTCCTTTCAAAACACAGAGTTTAAACGGCTCTCTGTCACAAAGGTCAAAGATCAAACGAACACAAATACCCAGAAAACACAAGAGGAGAAAACCCCCGGCATACAAAGCACCTGTGGAAGTCACTGGGCCAAGAGGGACCTTATTTACCTCAGAAGAATGCCCGGACCTGGACTTGCCATTCATCTGCCTCATCTTACCTTCCTTCCTCCATCTCTGAACCTCCCCGTCAGCTCAGCTCTTGATCCTGCATCAGTTTGGCCCGTTCTTATGCCTGTTTGCGGCCCTCCCTTTCTCCCTCAGTGGGGTACCCCACAGTCAGAGCACTGGGCAACCACTCATCCTTCCCAAATGCTGCCCTTGGCCCTCCTCTCCTTCCTGGGCCTTGGCAGGGCCCTCAGTCAGGTTGCTGAGCTGCCTGAGATACCCACGCCATGAACACCATTTGGCGTTTTTGGATGCCAGTACTGGAGCTTGGGCTCAAGACTTCACACTTTTGCTTGGCGTTTTCGCTCAAGGCTGGTGCTCTACCACTTGTGTGTGTGTCTTATGCACATAGGACTTGGTTTGAGCGAGTTATTCGAGAGCGCGTTTTCAGAATCCGTTGTCCTGGGGTGTGTCAGGACGTGTGGGTCCCATGCTACTCACCTGCTTCTCCTTGAACAGGTCCACCTCTCTCAGAAGCTTCTCCTGGCAGTCAGGGTTGGTGGCTAGCAGGTAGGTGGTGAAGGAGAGCGTGCTGGTGATGATTTGGTGGCCTGCAATGAGGAAGAGGAAGGCCTGGCCCACGATCTCGTCCACACTCAGAGGCTGGGCTGGGGCTCTGCGTTGGTGTTTCTGGCGAGGGTCCTCTGTGCCCTTCGTAGACAGGACTTCTTTGACAAGGTCAAAGTTCTCCAGGCCGACAGCACTCTTGGAATATCGGGCGTCCAGAACCATTTGGAGGAAATCTCTCCGCCTCTGAGACAGAGAGGAAAATGTGCATTATGGCCTTGGAGTCACAGAAGGAGGCAGAATGAGGTCAGAGGAAGACTTGTGGGCAGAGATTTTGTTTTGTTCTGTTTTGATGTTTGACAGAGCCTGGGCTCTGTCCCTTAGCTTTTTTTTTTCTCAAAGCTGGCACTCTACCGTTTGAGCCATAACTCTATTTCTGGCTTTTTGGTGGTTAATTGGAGATGAGTGTCATGGACTTTCTTGCCCAGGCTGGCTTTGAACTGTGGTCCTCAGATCTCAGCCTCCTGAGTAGCTAGGATTACAGATGTGAGCCACCGGCGCCCAGTCACAGGCAGAGTTTTGAAAGAGCTCAGTGGGAACAGGGTCTGAGATGGTGAGAGTCGGAAGCCACCTGAATGGCCTTTAATCTAGGCACTGATCCCTCACTCTCTGGGGACCAGAATATGACCCTCCAGTAAAAAGACAAGGCCGCTCTTGTCTTTGCTTTGAATTACTTATGAGGTAGAGGTCTGATTCAAGTATTTGGTACATAATGGCCAAATCAAGGTAATTAGAGTTTTCATCTCCTTAAATTTTATTGAGAACCTCAGACCCTTCTAGATTTCTCTATGGTATATAATAAGATGCTGTGATCTTGTCACCCTTCTGTCCTCCTAGCCAGTTGGCACCTGTGATCCACCTACCCCCTACACTGTCCCCCTTCTCCATCCTGCCTAACTCCAAGGTCAACTTTCAGCTCTGCCCCACACGAGCAAACAAAAGCACTGTATCCATTGTTCTGTGCCTGGCGTATTGCACTTCACATGTCTTCCACCTTCTATCCATGTAACTCCATATGCAGGATTTCATTCTTTTTTATAGCTGAATAATACCACATTGTGTATCTGTGCCACATTTCCTTTATTGATTCTGGATGAGGCCATTCTGTCTAGGATGATCTAGAAAAGCGTATGGCCATTTTGTTACGTATGAAAAAGCAACTTACAAAACAGAATACACAGTAGTATCACATTTTGTAAAAACAGTAGGTGTGCAATTGGTATAATGATGTGCACCTGTCTAAAATACTTATTAACATATGTTATATAAAACATGTCATTATATTAATGTTATCTATTATAATCTACTATACATTATATTGTATAAAATATATGTTAATACATTATACAAACAATATGTGTTAACATATATAAATACTAATATATTGATACTAATTATAAAAATATAAGTAAATATATAATATAAACATATAAATATATAATTAGATAAAATATGTTACTATATCAATATATTTACATATATTTAACAATACAAATTAATATTAATAAGTATAAATAGTAATGTTTTAATATATAGATATAATTGTATACTTATCTATTATTACCTATGTTATATATTATAACTAAATAGTACCTATTTAATAATATATATTTATAGACATAATTATTTAAATATATATATTTATATATACATATATAACTATTCATATGAATATTTTCAAAACTATAATATCAGTATTTTGAGCATGAAGTTACTCTTTTATTATTTAATTTGTGCTAAATTTATTTCATATCAAATGTACTTAACAGATAATAATATTAGATATTATATTTTAATATATTAAAATATATTTATTAGCATAGTGTTTATTTACTTAAATATTTAGTAACATCTGCATTCAACATTTCCCAGTGAGCTGAAGGAAATGGGGGAACCACAGCTATGTGGTTTGTACGTTCTACATGTTTGTACCAGAAAATATCTTCTAGATTTAAATCAGAGCAGGCACTTTGTTGTTCAACTTATGCACGATGTAGGGTGATAGGGAACCCTAATTTTTATACACTGTGCAAGTTAACAGAATGAGCGGGGTCAGGAGCTGGTGAGGGTGAGCTTGTCCTCAAAGCCTCGGACGTAGCAGTGTGCTCCTCACCCTCTCCCCCTTTTTCCTCAGGAAGCCCAACCCCATTTATGTGCTTCGAACTTTCTTAGCATCTTCCCTGCCTTTCTTATCAGTAATTTGCATATTCCTCTTGTTCTCACCACTAATTCTAAATACAGGTGAGTGTGATACTGCTTTAGATTCACAACATGTCTTCCTGGCGCCTCCCTTCTTTGAAATGTCTTTTTGATGCAATGCATGAACACCAAATGTTGCTCATTTTTTTTTTCTTCTCTCTCAAGTTTATGGGATTAAAACTGCAAAAGAAGAGTAGCACAACCTCCACTGGGAAAATATTATAATCTCAGAGTACTTTACCAGTTGTGTTTTCTCAGTGCATTGGTTTTTGCCTTTTTATGTCATGAATAATCTATGTGACACACATTCCATCTTTAAGACCCTTATCATTTCATCTGTGGTTGGCTTTTCTGCTCTATGAGAAGATGTCCACCCCCGAGGACAGGACCTCACCCCCCCACCCCCCCCAGCCTCCAACTGCACGGTGCAATCAATCCAGCGCTGGAAAATGGAAAGCAGGAACTATCTCTGTGGCTCCACTTTCCAGCCGTGTGACCTTGGACGATGTCTGCCGGGAACCTGGCAGGATTCATAACGAAGACTGTGGCTGACCCTGACCTGGAGGCTCAGGAGGCCTCAAGAAGGTCTCTGCTTCCTCCAGCCTCTGGGGGGCGGGGGCTGTGCCAGCTAACAAGAGGGCAAAGGTTCCCTTAGCATCACCTCTCCATTCCACTGGGGCCCTCAGAGCCCTCCTGGGGCTCTTGGTTGGTCCATTTGAATCTCTTTGGGTTGTATGTAATACAGCTGTGTATTTTCTAGAATGCCAATCAGCATCTTTTCCTCTTTCTCTCACCCAGCCAGGCTGCCAAAGGGCCAGTGGAATCAGGTAGAAATCTAGCTTCACCTCTAACTAAGAGACAGGAGAACATGCCAGCTCTCTAGGGTTCCTTGCCTAGAGAAGGTACATTAAAGTAGTCTTTTATTCTTTTATTTGCAGTGCATCCTGGGGGCTAGCTGAACACTATCTATTTAGGACTGAACCAGGGCTGGCTGGTGTATGGTTATATCCAAGAAAAATACTCACCCTGATAGATGGAGGTGTCTAATCCACCCATTGGCTAGAGCTTAGAAAAATATTTACCTTTGAACATCTGTGCAGCATTTCACTGCGCAAACACACATCTGTTTGATGGAATGTACACGGAGTTAGATGGTTTGAGAGTCAGTTTTCTTAGTAACCGGATCGCTGCCTTGACAGGGGCAGTCCTGGTTTGTAATTGGGAGATTTGGGGTTTTTTTCCCCCCTCTCTCTCAGATCAACTCATTGTTTGAAATAAATAGCTGTAGAGTTTATAAAAGAAAAAGCTCTAGGCAATCCCAGTAATTGGATCTTTAATAACCTCTCACCTCTGAGTAAGTCACTCATTGCAACAGTTTTTAAATGTTCAGCCTGTTTTCACAGTCAGTGAGGTTCAGGGATAGGCGTGCGTGTGTGTGTGTGTGTGTGTGTGTGTGTGTGTGTGTGTGTGTGTGTGTGTGTGGTGTAAAACCTCTCACAGGCCATTCCTTTATAGAAATAATGAGTCTGAAATAGTTCTTCCCTCATTCCTTGTCCCCCGAGCTCCATCCACAAGGCTGAGGAGTGCACACCTAGAATGTTCGGTCCTTTATCTATGGCGTCCAAGTGGGTCCAAGCACATCAGTTAGCTGATTCTTCCCCCACTTCCAAGTACATTCATGTAGAGTTCATGGCCATGTAGGCCCAGGGGCCGAGAGCTGGTGGAGACCTTCGTACAACTTCTGGATCCAGACTCATTTGCCCCACAATCCCCAGAGTGTGACAAGGTTGTTGCCCAGGGCTGCTCAGTGCACCAAGCCATTCATTGTCTCTGATTCTATTCCAGGCCAATGCCTTCACCAGTAGACCTCACGATTCCTCTGGGCCATTTGGTCTCTGAGAAAACCCTTTGAAAGCTCTATCTGCATAAGTCGCTTTTGGAAAAGCCCTTTCAGCTCTGTTTTTCCTTTCATTCACTTTTAAAGTCTTTAAAGAACAGCTGACACGATCATCCATCACACCAGAAATCAGCCAAGGTCAGGCAACAAAAATTTACTTGATGTCTGTTGTGTGAAAGCAGAGTGCAACTGTGGCGGGAGGAAGGAAATCTCTAGGCATACGAACAAGACCGGGTCCAAGCACAGATTTTCTTGGAACACTCTCCATTCTGAAAGGGAACATGGGATTGGCTGAGGGCTGCCCCAATTTCTCTCAGTTACGCCATTCATGCTATGAAACTCTCTCATGAATTCCAGCCACAATGAAGATTCTCCAGAGAATTGCAAAGAGCACATTTACCTAAAAACTCCCCCCCCCCACTTTTTTTTTTTTTTTACAGGGGAGACTTGAACTCAGGGCCAAGGTGCTGCCCCTTGTTTTTTTTTGCTCCAGGCAGGCTTTTTACCACTTGAGCCACAGCTCTACTTCTGGATTTTTGGTGGCGAACGGGAGATAAGAGTCTCATAGACTTTTCTGCCTGGGCTGGCTTTGACCCATGATAGTTAGATATCAGCCTCCTGAGTAGCTAGGATTACAGGTGTCATTCTTGGAGGATTCTTTGGGGGCTGGTATAACCAGGCTTGGCTGATACCTAAGCTGAGGAGACAGTTTAGGGGGACAGCTTCCATGCTCCCCCCCTTGTCAGGGGATAAGCGTGTTGTTCTGAGTTTCTCTTCTCTAGTACCATCCCTTCCCACTTCCCTTCCTTCTTCTCCTCTGGCCTTCCCTCCCTTTTCCCCTTCCCCTCCTCATTCCTGCTGAGCCTCCTCTGCCTTTCTCTTTGCTTCCTACTGGCCCTGGAAGGTTGGGAGGCATGGCTTGGTAAAGGACCGGCACATCGTGATAGACGGCGTGAGGAAGAGAAAGGAAGAGTGATGGAGAGTGAAAGAAGAGAGCCATGCAAATGAGTTTCATTCCCTTTCAAGGCTGTGTCCTATTAACACATGTTACCTCTTCTGCTGTGTCCTAATGAAATACCTTACCTCTTCTGCTGCTTGCTGGTCCCGCAAGGCAATCACATTCCTAATGACTTTGTTAAAAAAGCCATTCAGTTCATCTTGGTTCTTATTGGGCAAAATCCGGGCCAGTGGGATCATTATGGATGGAAATGATACTTGAAAGAGAAAAACAAAAGTGGCATTGAAAAGGAGGGTGACAATAAACCAGGGCTATTAGATGCCTGGTACCCGGGAACAAATGCTGGCCTTGAATGAGCACTTGAGAGGTGAGTCCTTGCGTGGAGTCGCTGCTCCCTGCGGCAGGGTGGCCCAATGCCTCCTCACTCTACCTTTGCTCTGCGCATGCTTTCTTGGGTGTACATGGGAGGCACCTGGCCAATGACTGTACCCGCTACACTGTGTACAGCAAAAAAAAAAAAAAAGGAAATGGAGGTGTGGCTCAAGTGGTAGAGTACCATCCTTGAGCAAAAAAAAAAAAAAAAAAAACTAAGCAAAAATGCAAGGCCCTGTTTCAAGCACCAGTCCTGGCACACATGTCATTAAACAAAAACAAAACAAAACAAAAGGGGATGGGAAGGTGGCTCAGTGGTAGAGCGCTTGCCTTGCATGCCTGAGGCCCTGGGTTTGATTCCTCAGCACCACATAAGCAAAAAGAAATAAAAAGCCGGAAGTGGTGCTGTGGCTCAAGTGGTAGAACGCTAGCCTTGAGCTGAAGAGCTGAGGGACAGCGCCCAGGCCCAGAGTTCAGGCCCCATGACCAGACCCAAAAAAACAAAACAAAACAAAACAAAAGTAGCAGCTCATTCATTTCCTTAACTTTCTGGTCATTTGGTATTTTCTTTCTCCGGATATGTGTCCCCAAAGTGGGCTCCTGAGTTGTCGCTAAGATCTGCTACTGCAGCTGCTGGCAGAGATGCTGGCCCTATCTGCTGTGGGCTCCTTTGATCCTGTCACAGGCAGCCCAGGCCTTCCTGGCTGAGCCTTTGAGATAGGCTCCTTGGGCCAGGAGCACCTAATCCTCCTAGAGAGGAGCTCTGGGCCACAGGGAATTACAGCTCCCCATTCCCAACCCTCCCCCCACCTTTCTGGTAGGCCTTGTACTCACAGAGCTCTCTGCTGAGCTAGGCTGGAGAAACCCCAGGAGGTTCCAAAATACTTGGCTTATTTAAAGGCACAGAGCAGGGATGGGACAATGGAGCCACCTGCTCTGGGGGACACAGGTGCATCCCATGGCTGAAGGCATGCGCAAGAGGGAGACTCAAGGCCAGGAGCCCAATGGGAGGTTGGGGTAAGGAGGAAGCTGATTGGCCCTCACAGCAACCTCTACCATGTGGGTGAGCGTTGCTGGACGTGGGTGGGCTTCCCACTGAAATCAACTCAGAAATAGAGAGGAAGCTGGCCAGGGAATGAATAGAATTTGCCAGCCTGGCAAGCACGGCTGGAAACCTTCGCCTTTGTCATCATCAACAGTACTCCAGAGCCTCCATAAAAACAAGAAGGAAGGTTCTAGAACTGGCTAGAGGGCAATAGTTCACTTGGACAATGAAAGTAAAATCAATAGACTAGTCTTCTTGTATTAGATCCTTTCCTGGTCACCCATCTTGTCATTTCTAGCTTACGATGCACTAGCTTCCACAGGAAGGAAATGTCACTGGAGGGGAGAAAAAACAAATCCTAGAAAAGTGACAGGCTTCGGGTTCCAGCCTTGGCTCTACTTTTCTAAGCCTCAGGTTTTCAGATCCTGAATATGGGCAGAAGAATACTTTTCTCATAGGGCAACTGTCAGAACTCACTCACTGTCCCCACCCCTGTGTGTGACAGAGGCCTGGGTCCCTGTGTGAGTGATAGGTGGCCCAGGTGGACAGATTTCCCACAGGGCACTGCTCAGAGACCCCAGAGTGTCCTTTCCTAGTGGCAAGAGCCAAGGACCAGTCTCACAGGCCCGAGCAGGAGCTCTACTTACAGATGCAAACCAAGAGAGGCCTGGGGATGCGGAAGGAGAAGAACCGCTGGCAGTGGCTCACAAAGGGGTCCTGGGCAGCTGTCTGGGAGTCCACCTGGGTGCCAAAGGCGACACTGGCTACCACATCTGTGGTGTAACAGCAGTAGCTCCTGAGGAGAGGGAGACATTGGAATAGGAAAGGATGCTGGTATTGGCCTACCCACAATGCACCTCTCCTGACAAAGCAAGGCGCCATCACCCACATGGGTGACTCTAACCCTGAGAGGGGTTGAGGAGAACAGCTTCCTGCAGAGCTCGGCCAAACACTGGGGGAGGAGCTTCTGGAATAAGCAGCAACAGCAGGAAATGAGGAGAGACAGAGTAGGGAGCTTACAGAAGCAAGGACTCAGGGGAGGGACCCACGTGGCCTTCAGGTAGCCTTAACCAACCAGAATAGCGTCAGATACCAAGAAGGAGGAGGGAGAAGAGGAGCCCCACTGCTGTTGGGGTTTGCCCTCCGATTGATTGATCGATCTTCGTGTGTGAAGCCCATCCCAGGCCAGAATCTAAGATTCACGGACCTCTGTCAAAATGACATTGGTGAAGGAAGAACTTGATTAGCTGACTTTATCAATTCCTCCCTTTTTCTTTCTAATAATTTTGCATTTTCTTTTTTTTAAAAAACGTACAACAAACAAAAAACAAGGACTCTTCACACTCCAAGAAATAGCAGATGAACACTGACACAGGCTTCATGATCATATGTATATGATGTTCAGAAAACACACATTGCAATTTAGAGCAAACAGAAGGAAAAGTGCCTGGCAGTAGTTCCAGAAAATTTACCCTCGTAGGCTGCAGGAAGCCTGTCTCCCCCAAGGCCTTTTATTATTATTATTACTAATAATAATTATTATTATCTTTAAGTAGTTGTACAGAGCAGTTTATGAATACAATGCATCTTGATTAATGTCAGCCCTTTTTAAACTAGAAATATTCTTTTTTATTTAGTTACAAGAGTTTTCAGATTCAATTCTTTTTAAGAATCCTAACAACTGGGTTATGAATAGCCTTTTATAATTACCAAGTCTATTTTTTGTCTTTGGCCTAGGCAAGTTCTACATAAGTCATCCAGCCCCCACCTCAGCATCAGAGAATGAACGGTATTTCCAAATGACTGAGAAGTCTTGAATGCTTTTATTCTCTTACTTGTTAAATTGGGGCTTGGACCAAGGACCAGGGCATTCTCCCTCAGCTTCTTCACTCAAGGCTGTCGTTCTACCACTGGAGTTACACCCCCACTTATGCTTTCTGGTGGTTAATCAGAAATAAGTTTCCTGAACTTTCCTGCCCCAGCTGGCTTCAAACCATGATCCTCAGATCTCAGCCTTCTGAGTAGCTAAGATTATAGGCATGAACCACTGATGCTCAGCCTTTGATTTGCTTCCTTCCTCCCTCCCTTCCTCCCTTCCTCCCTTCTTCCTTCCTTCCTTCGTCCCTCCCTCCCTGCCTTCTTCCTCCCTCTCTTCCTCCCTCCTTCTCTCCCTTCCTTCCTTCCTTCCTTCCTTTTCTTTCTTTCTTTCTTTCTTTCTTTCTTTCTTTCTTTCTTTCTTTCTTTCTTTCTTTCTTTCTTTCTTTCTTTCTTTCTTTCTTTCTTTCTTTCTTTCTTTCTTTCTTTTTCCTTCTCCCTTTCTCCCCACCCCCCTTTGGTTGGCTATGGGGCTTGAACTCGGGGCCTGGGCACTGTCCTTGAGCTTTTTCACTCAAGGCTGTGCTCTACCACTTTGAGCCACAGCACCACTTCCTTTAATTTCTTTTTATCAAGAACATTCCTACAATCGATTTTCTTGCAATAGTTAAAACAAGACTGACTGCCCGTGTCATTTCATCGGAACCTGATGGTTGAAGATCGAAAGGTCTTACGAGTTATTTGCTTTGCTTTTATAGCTGGCCCAGCCACCTTACCTTTCTACCTTCTGTACCTCATTATCAGAGAGAATACAGCCAATGGGCTCCCTTCACCTATGGTGTAATATAAATGTTGGTATTGGTGGTGCTATTATTTTAGTAGCAATGATAATCACACGTCAGCGGTGGCTGGAATGCACTCCTCATTCTATTTTTGACCTGTTGCAATCCATTGTTGGGCCTAAAGCAACCAAACGGTCGCTTAGATTTGGTGTCACCATGAAGCTGAGACTTTCCTGTTGAGGAACTTCACAGTTTCTCTTGATGTGACAGTGCAGACGGGCTCCCCCACCCCCGCCCCCCTGGAGGGCAAGGCCATCCACAGGCCACACAGCCCTGGGCTGTGGTCACTTTGTTTTTACCTTTTAAATGGGCTTCGTTTCTTTTCATTAGTCAGTCCATCCATGCTTTTATGAGCTCCCTGCATTTCCACCGTTTGCTATTTCCAAGGTAATTGTCCAGTAATTATGTACAGTTACAAGAAGCAGCCTTTTCAAGGCTGAGGTTTCTCCGCTCTGGCAGGGCAACCCTTACCTCTGCATGTCGCAGGCGTCCCTCGAATCTGCGCAGCGTTTCAAATGAGCCAGGAGAAGATGACAGGCTTGGCTGATGAGGGGCGTCATCTGATAACGGGAACAGAGGTGTAATTAGGGTCTGATGCAGGGCTCAGGCCTCCGTGGGCTGTAGATGACAGGGTTATTCTGAGGGGGCCTCTCACACAATTAAGACAGAAGTTCTAAATTCACAAGTATTTAAAAAAATACCATAGCTGGAAACATCTATTTTAAGCTTAAACAAGCTTTAATTTGGGGGAGGAAGACAAAGTGGAGGGGTGCAAAGAGAAAGGCTTTCAGGTGAATAGGATGAGAGAGTTTATGAGAGTATTTGTGAAATCCTTAGAACTGCATGCGTGGTTAGCACTAGAGAACCTGATCACACTCCGAATGTCCACTCTCTCTAGCTAACCCAAGTCCACGTTTGCTTGTTCCAATCACACTTTAGATTTTCAATTCGAACAAAGAATCCAGCATCCAAGGGTACCGGGGTCATCGATCTCAACTTCTTAATTAAGATGCGAGTTATTTTTAGAGCAGTTCTGAGGAGTGGTTATTCACGGGTGCCTAAGCTGCTCCAACCTTCCAGTACAAAGTCCCTCTGGACTCCAGAGCAAGGCACTGATCTACACGAAGACATTGTTGACTTCTCTCTTTAATTGCAAACTATTTTTCTATGGGCCGTTTCAAAAAGAGAAAACTGTTGAGAAGACTCTCATGAACATTCATGCAGTGATCACTGGCCAAAAACCCAAACAACCCCCAAAACAAGAAAAAAAAAAACCCTCCTCGATCATTCCCCACCCCTCCCATTACTCTTCCTGCTGTCTGCATGCATTGCTTTATTCTTCCCTCTTCTTCTTCCTTTTTTTTTTTGGTTGGTCATGGGGCTTGAACTCTGGGCCTGGGCGCTGTCCCTCAGCTCTTTAGCTCAAAGCTAGCGCTCTACCACTTGAGCCACAGTACCACTTGTGGTTTTCTGGTTGTTTATTGGAGATAAGAGTCTCATAGACTTTCTTGCCCAGGCTGGCTTTGAACTGCCATCCTCAGATCTCAGCCTCCTGAGTAGCTAGGATGACAGGCGTGAGCCACCAGTACACGACTGCTTTATTCTTTTTTAAATTAGGATCACTCCTAAGCGGTGGCCCTGTAAGAGGAGCCAGTTAATGGGAAACTTCCTGTGATCTGTACCCTGCACCTCAGTCACCAGCCCAGATTTATGACAACTTTTTCAAAACCCAGCACAAACAAATATGAGGTTCAGGTCATTGAAAAAAACCACAGGGTCTTTCCCCACGAATCATAGCTTTGTGCATTTGATTCCTTGACCCTCTGGGGTCCATCCCTTAGAAGGCTCTGTATTCATATCACATTTATGTCTGTAATGAGTTCCCTGTACTGCTTTGAGCAGGACAATCTCTGAGCTGTCCTAAAACCATGGCATGGGGGTGGGGGAAGAAGGGGGCCCCCCGTGGGCTAGTGTGGGCAGATGTTTGTGGGATTCTGGGAGAGCACATGGCTTTGTTGAACCCCCTCCCTCTTTTGCAGTTCCCTCCCAGCCAGCTGCATCTCCCCCCCCCCCCCCCCCCCCGCCCGGCTGCCGCCATGCTGAGTGGTATAAGAACAGACTTGTGGCATGGGTAAGGGCAGAGGTGACCTCTCTATGCTGGGGAGAAGCTGGGGATAGGGGTGGTATACGGAGCATAGAGCATTCGCTATTCTCCCCTTGACCCATCTGGAACTTGGAGAGTGCACTTTCTAGGTCTTCAGCTCTTGGCAATGTCGACAGGTTCAATGCAGAGCCCTAAGGGCCTCTGTCTACTAGGTAGCTATTTTAGGTAGCTGCAGAATTTTCCCAAATCCCTTGGCCAACCATGTATGAACATCAGTAAATACCCAGCCAGGCACCATTTACCTATAAATTGGCAGGGGACAACTCTGTTAAAAGATTAGCCCAAATAGAAATGTAATTTACATCAACTGCCTACCCTAAAGTCTGCTCAAAGAGGAAATGAGTATGGTGATCCTCATTTATTCTTTGTAACACATGTCTACTATTTTATGGAGAAGATATTCTTTCCTAAATCCCCACATACCATCAATTTAATAGTCTATTGGTAGAAATGTATATGTAAATGGATCTTGAGCTATCACTCCCAAGAAATTTCAGATTTCCTTGATGTTTGGGGAACTTGGTACTCTCAAAGCTCTATTTCTGTGGCTAACTTTCCTGCTACTTTTCCTCCCTCCCTTCCTAACTCCCTCCCTTCTTCCCTTCCCTCCTTCTCTCCTTCCCTCTTTTCCTTTCTTCCTCCCTCTACCTCTCCCTCCTTCTTTCCTTTATTACCAGTACCCTGGCTTAAACCCAAGGCCTTGTGCTCTTACTTGGCTTTTTACTCACAACAGTCACTCTACCACTTGAGCCATGCCTTCTAGCATTTTGCTCGATCAGAGTTTCTCAGATTTGTCTGCACAGGCTGGACCTGAATCAAAAATTTCAGCTCTCTGCCTTCTGAGTAGCTAGCATTATAGGCAAGAGGCATCCATGCCTGGTGCAGCCTTCAATTAATTTCATAATCTTAGTCGTACAAATATACTCTGTTTTAACAAAATCCCAGGTGCTGAAATATTGTTTAGTTACACTTCAGAGAAATAATAATGGTTAACAACCTCCCCCCCCCACAAAAAAAAACAACAACAAAGAAACAACAGCAAAATGACTGTGTGAGCCAACATGGTAGTTCAAGCCTGTAATCACAGTACTCAGGAGGTTAAGGCAGGAGATTAATAAGAGTTTGAAGCCTGCCTGGGCTACAGCTTAAGGTCCTGTCTCACAACAAAAGAAAACAAGTTGAAATGCCACACTGGAAGCTTCCTTAAGGTACCAGAAGAGATGATGTGGTATGAAATATGATTGATGCCGCCCGCTCACCCCCAAGCATGTCCTGTGTGTTAATGGCGACCACTGGATCTGTGTGCAGCCAGGACAATGCAAGGAGAGGCCTGCCTCCCGTTGCTCCTTGCGCGTGCTTTGGACTGCAATGCTTTGTTGCTGGCTGGCGTGACTGCAATTCTCCCCTCTGTTCTGCCTGTTGTCTGTCAAAGGGAATGGATGATGACATTTTTATTTGGGTTAATGCGATATAAGATGGGGCCTGTAATATGAAAAATGTTTTTAAAAGGCAATGTGGAGAAAAATCTTACAAGACAGACAGCAAGGCGTGATCTGTGTGTTGGCCAATAGCCCTCCTTGCAGACGTACGTCCTTGCATTACGCACTGCAGTTACAGAATAGTCATTCCTACATGAGTTGCATACAAACAAAAGCTCTGGTTGATGGGCTCACCAGATCTTCAGACAAACCCACAGCTTCTCCCCTAGGCTTGTGGACACTCAGGCGATGGGTCATGTGCACACACGTGTACACAGCATTTTATCCTTCCCAGCTTAATGGAAGACTCTAATATATGCCTTTATCTTTGTGGGCAAAGTGATCGTTATTTTTGTGCTGCTCTTTTTTTTTTCAGCACACACATAGGTTGTACTTTCAATCATATACACTTTTAATATTACAGGGTTTGAAAAAAATGACTTCCTTTTGAGAATTATTATGGTCTGAGTGTTCGTGTCTCTCTGAAATTCTTTTTTGTTGTTGTTGTTATTGTCAGTCGTGGGCCTGGGCACTGTCCCTCAGCTCACGGCAAATGCTCTACCACTTGAGCCACAGCACTATTTCTGGTTTTCTGGTGGGCTGTTGGAGATAAGTCTCACAGACTTTCCTGCCCGGGCTAGCTTTGAACCACGATCCTCAGATCTCAGCCTCCTGAGTGGATAGGATTACGGGCATAAACCACTAGCGCCTGGCTCTCTGAAGTTCTTTTTTTTTTTTTTTTGTCAGTCATGGGGCTTGAACTCTGGGCCTGGGCTCTGTCCCTCAACTCTTCAGCTCAAGGAGAGTGCTCTACACTTGAGCTACAGCGCCACTTCCGGTTTTCTAGTTCTTAAGTTGTTCTATTTCCTAGGGTAGCTGCAGGGCTTCCCAGGGAAAGCCAGAAGATTATGGTCCTGATAAGAGGACTCATAGCCTTATAAGAAGAGACGCCAGTTTTCTTCCTCTCTTTTTCCTCTCTTTCTCCCCTTTCTCTCTCTCCCTCTCCCCCTTTATCACTGTTTCCCCTTCTCTCTTCCTCTCTCTTTCTCCTTCCTGCTCTTCCCTCTCTTTCTCCCCCTCTCTTCCTCTCTCTTTCCCTGTTTCCCCTTTCTCCCTTTCTCTCCTCTTTCGCCCTTCTCTGTCTCTATCTCTCTCCCTTCCCCCTCTGTCTGTCTATCTCTCTCCCTCTCATCCCCCCTTGTCTCTGTCTCTGTCTCTCGGTCTATCTGTTGATCTCTCTCTTTCTTCCCTCCTCACCCATTCACAAAAGTCTCCTGAGCACATAGCAAGATAGCCTCTACCTACAAGTTAAGAAGAGACCTCATCAGTAACCCGCAATGCTGGAACTCTGCTCTCCAGCTTCCTCAAGACTGTGAGAAAATAGTGTCTGTAGTCTAAGTCCGCCTGTCATATGTTGCCACAATATCCCAAGTTGACCAAGCTGGCCAGGGTGTCAGTCCAACAGCCAAGCTTAGAGAATATTTCCCATTTGGTTGTCTCATTGCTCACATTGGAAGCCTCCTAGTGGAGAGGTGCCAAATGTGTGGCAGGGCAGCTATTTGGTAACTAGCGGTGCGTGCTGAGGATAAAGCACCGTCCTCAGTCGGAAGAAAATTCTTCAAGGAAACAAGTTCTTGCTTAATCTGGACTTCAGTATATGATTTAAGTACCTAGATTTGTTTTTTTTGGACAGCGCTGGAATTTGGACCTCTACCACTGAGCCACACCTCCAGTCCTGTTTTGTTCAGGTTATGATTTCTTTCGTTCTTCTTTCTCTTTAGTTCTCTCTCTTTCTTTCTCTTTCTCTCCTTTTCTCCTTTTCTTTCTTTCCTTCTTTCTCTCTTTCTTTCTTTCCTTCTCTCTCTCTTTCTTCCTTCCTTCCTACCTTTCTTTCTTTCTTTCTTTCTCTCTTTCTGCC